GTACCGCATTTTCCGGAGCACAATGTATAAAGCGGGATTCACAGAAGCTTTTTTGCGATGCGACACGCGATGCGACAGCCGCGAAACCGGGAAATCCCCAAATCGCAACCATCGCGGACCCCACGCAACTGCCGCAACAGGGTTATCGCAGGCCATCGCAGAAGTTGAGCTTGGCTCAACTTTTGCGATGCGATGCGACAAGCGATTTGGCGTACGATTTTGACCTTTTCTACAGCAAAGTTGTACAAAGGTTCAAGAGTTGCCTATAAATTTGTACAAGTTGTATCAAACCGCGCGAATATCATGGTGACGTAACCAAATCAGCAAGACTTTGTCGCATCACTGACTTCTTCTGTGAATGGTATTTCGCGAGTTCGCATCGCACGCGTCCGTCGCAGATCGCGTCGTATCGCGTGTCGCATCGCAAAAAAGCTTCTGTGAATCCCGCTTAAGTCGCACCCAGATTTTTGTCACGAAATACAGACATCTACTCCTGTTTACAATGGTTTATCACTGTTAAAAAATATGATACGAGTACTTTGAAGTACATGTAAATATCAGATGGAAAACCTTACACACACACCATCTTCAATCCAAGTGGTCTCTTCGCTGCAAATTGCAATAATTCTCAATCAAATTTTCGGCAGAAATGTAAATATCAGTTTAAAAAAAGTTGCCTGATGACTGCTCATGCAGGAAACTCAGAGAAACGAAATACTAAGGGCATGTTTGATTGGTCAATCCGGATTCAGGGCAGATTCACTGGAACAATCAGAACAACAGTTCCCAATCAAAAACAGAGCAGCGAATAATTTTGTCAGAAATACTGTAGAACTCATGATAGCTCATTGTGCCGCGAACTTCAAAATTCCCACAGAGTTCAAAGATGTTTACGTTGCTCAAGATGTGAAGGCAAAACAAACTTGAAAGGTGAGTACAACTGGAGAAGAAGCTTCGCGTTGAAGACAAACACAAATTCAAAGACAACAGGTTGATGCTCTCTAGCTCAGTTTCAGTCGTGGTGTGGTGGTTGATGGAAAACATACATGTATGTACAAGACCGAATGCTGCCCTTGAAACTGACAGACAAAATGGCATGATGAGGTAATTGCTCTCCATCTCATGGTGTGTTCACTCAAATCACATTGAATCATTGCTCACATTCATGATTCATGATTGTTCTTGACTGTGCATGTGGCCTGTGAAGGCTGTGATCTTGATCTACCGGTATACCGTAATATCTCTAATATAAGCACGGTCCTTTATTTTTTCAATGTGCCTCCGCCCCGTGCTATTATTGGAAACGTTCCTTTATTGGAGACTGTTCCATTATTATTTCAACCTCATTTCAGAGGCATGTTGCCATGCCAAATTTATATATCAGACACACATTTCAGGGTTTTTTTCGCCGGTACAGATAATGAATTTACACAGTGTGCTTATATTGGAGACTGAGCACTTTATTTTTTGAATGCCGCCCCAAGGTGTTCTATTATTGGAGACGTGCTATTATTGGAGACTGTGCTTATATTACTACGGTCCGTCATTATCACAAGTCATTGGCCTTTGGTGGAAGTCATTGAGATTCAATCATTGTAAGCTCGTCTTGATGGTTTAACATTCCATACCCCGCGCATGCTCTTGGAGACACTTATCTATTCTCTTGTCTCTGTGTCTTAGCTACAATGCATCTCCTTGAGACACTTACTTCCTCTGTAGGGTTTTCCTACATCCTTAGGCATGGGCCTCAGTTCGACTCATGCGACGAGCTGTGCAAGGCGCTTTTTCCTTTGTTACCACGTCCTCCCGAGCCGAGGACATCGCTCCAGTCCAGATATCTAGCATGAACAGTTTCTCCCAGTTTACCTAGTATACAACAACAAAAAACACTCGTCATCTACAGTAAGATCGGGCGCCGAAGAACACCTCGCCGAAGAACACCCAGGCTGGAAAACCGCCAAAATTTTTAAAAGAACAGTCCAGGCTAGAATTATCAGATTTAAGAACACTTTTAAAAATTGGAACATTGTACATGTATTGGAGGTGAGTACATGTCATGTACACGTGTAAACAGTAACTGCTACATGTACCATATATAGTCATTCCCATTTACGACACCCACTAGTTTAGAAGTACTACATTGCACTACATGTACATGACAAACGTCATGACGTCACTCGACTCGCCGCGCGCGTGTGAATAAGAACGGTCTGGCTAGGGCCAAGTAAAAAAAAAAGCTAGATGATCGTCCCCGTCCGCCCCAGTTTTTGTCAGCGCCCCAAGAAATATTATATTTTTTAAATCGTGAGTTTTACTATATGGACCACATACTAGTACTAGTATATCACAACGTCAGGGCCCCTGCGTTCTTCGGCGCCCGATCTTAGGCGGTGTTTACATGAGGCGTTTCAACCCGGGTTGAGTTCGACCCGGGTCAGATTTCAACCCGCCATGTGCATAAAATGAATTGCGCGTTTACATGACGCATTGCGCTTGCATGACCCGGGTTGAAATTTCGCCCCGGGTTGATTTCAACCCTCCCCCCAAGGGGAGGGTTGAAATCAACCCGGGTCAAGAAAATCGTACAAACGTACTTCTGTGCGTATCTCGCGCCAGGTTTGAACGGCACTGCAGATGCAAATTTCGCGCGAACGGATTCACGTGACCATGCAGGACTGTAGAAGTGGACTTTTGGCGGCATATCAGTATTTGACCCGGGTCAACTGTCTTCATGTAAACGCTCACCTCTTTTGTCTATCGTACAGACTTTCAACCCGGGGTGAACTCGACCCGGGTTGAAATTTCTCATGTAAACACAGCCTTAGGGGCCATCCGTAATTATCGATCTTTTTCACGAAACGAAAAAGTTTAGTTATGACCCACCCCCACCCACCCACCCCCCTGAAACGAAAAAATTAATTGACTTGAGACTTTGTGCAGAAAATGATCTTGATTGGCTGTAACACACACATATCCTTCGCATGCAAGACTTAGTAATGCCCTTTTCCGGCAAGTAATACAGTAGTTACTTTTGTATATGAAATCCGTAACATTTTAGAATGATGCCAATAGCTCAAAGCGAGGCCACATTTTGTATGATAGTGCAAGTCAGATATATTTTCTTGGAAGTCTGGTACTACTTCTCGACCATGGAAACATTTATGTTCACCTACCACACACATACGCTGCTAAATAATTGGCACCTCTACGTCTAAACACGGGAATAGTACACATGCAAATCGTCAGAGTTCCGACATTGACATGATACTGCCAAAACAAGTCGTCTTCGGAGCGGAAACAAACGCCATAGCTATCACAGACTTCAGTGGTCGTGCCTCGCTCGCCAATGAGAGCAGCATCGCCCCAGAATCGTTGTCGGAAAGCTCCGTAAGGTCGCACACACGCCGCGCTTCGCTGCCGTCAATCAGGTACGTAGAAAGTCGATGGCCTAAATTTCCGTCTCTGGAAGACTGTCGACACGGGGATCACTCTCCATGGCTTTCCCACCATAAGCACGATCAGATTCTTCCAGGTACATTACGACGACATCGTCTTCAGCGGCTGGCGCTCCCCATATTTGCGTGAGAATTTACTTGGCGTGCGCCCCGCTCCGTAATTTGAAATTCTCTTGCATCGGCGGCTGGAACGAAGTACATGTATTATCTATCTGTCGTCGGTCCCATGCCATGGGTCCTCGTCGGAGAAGTCATCCGAGCACGAAAGGAACTCACGACTGCACTGAGTACAGAGTGGCATCAGTGCATCGTACTGTCGATCTACTTCGAAGTACACAATGCATGCAGTGCAGTGCGCGTAGATTTTTCCGCTTTCGATGTTTTTTCAAAACGAAACCGGTCACTACCCACCCACCCATAAACGAAACTTTTTCGTTTCGTGAAAAAGATCGATAATTACGGATGGCCCCTTACTGTACTCGAAGACGAATAGAAGTACACTACAGCCATGTACCATGAGTACTACCAAGAGTACATAAACCTATGTACTCTTGGTACTACACTCTACAGGTACATGTAACTAACTTTTTAGTTCAAGAGGGCTTGAGTTGAGTTGATGATGTACATGTAGAGGGGACGGTTCGAGTCAAAATAATAGGACACAGGTTGCAAATCGGAACGGACTCAATATTCACTTTCTCTCTTGGTATTTTGATTAGAAAACATAATAATTATGTCACAGCGAGACTACGATGTGTTATACATGTACTCCGAGCCAAAATTTCATGGCTCTGCGATGATCAGAAGCGCCATATCAAGCAGGTGAGTTTTTTGACGTGTTGCTTCGCACTGCGACTTGAGTTTTACGACTTTCGAAAAATCAACTTCTTGTCGCAGGTAAACAGCGGCTCGCCTCTCGCCAATAAAGCACCGCATACCAATCAAAACTAATGGAAGCACACACAAGGCTTATTGTTACTCTGTACTGGCCGTCGTGGAGCGATAGCAATTACCTAATTTCAGACCCAGAGTGAATTTGACGTGCACTCTAAAACGTGTCCGGTTTGGAGCCACCTCTGATTTGAACTTTTTTGAAGCGAAAAATTGGGCAACTTGGAGGCAATGGGTCAGCACAAAGGAGTGGCTCAGTTCGATTGACTCTGGCCCCAGAGCAAACTTCAACATGCCAGTTTCCTTCCACAAACATATTTCAAGTGAAAAATCAACGCTGATGATCGGTTTGGGTCTATAAATTATTTGGCTGTCAAAGCGTCCCGGTATTGAGCCGTCCCCTCTACCATGCATGATGATGCATCGATGAGTGATGAGTGATGTAGACCAATGCCAATGGCACCAAGAGTCCGTAAACCTTGGGTTTATGTACTCTTGATGGCACTGACTGTACTCTTGATCGTATGCTAGGTTAGGATCGTGCTTGCTGCACTGCACTGCTGCACTGGCGCATGGCCTGCATGCTTTTATGAGTGATCCGCGCCCGACACGCGCGCGCGGTACTCTATTCGCGCAAATCTACTGATTTTCTGTGACACTTCCTGCTCAGCCATTATTGAAGCAGGGGTTGTTCGGAGGTGTGTCTGTCTGTGCTGTTTGCTGGTGCTTGGAGGTAGAAAGTAAGTTTTTCTCCGTAATCGGATCATGGACGTCCCGGAAGGAGTCGCGGTTACTTTCGAAGAAGTCAGTGCTGCTTCTTTCCGTATTCGCGAGGGCATCAACAGAACGCCATGCGACAGATCTCACATGTCAGCCCTGACGGGTATGGAGATATTTTTCAAAAAGGAGTACCAGCAGTTCACGGGCAGCTTCAAGGAAAGAGGTGCCCGCAACACGTTCATGCTCCTCACGCAGGAGCAGAGGCGTGCCGGAGTCATCGCAGCATCTGCTGGTAATCACGCACTGTCTTTGGCCTATCACGGCCGAGATTTGAATGTGCCAGTGACTGTAATCATGCCACTGACAGCACCTCTCATGAAGGTATCTCTATGTCGACACTATGAAGCCAATGTTATCCAGCGTGGAAATGATTTTGGTGAAGCCAAAGCGTACGCAATGGCAATGTCGGAGGAGAAGGGGTTGCAATATATAAACGGTTATGACGATGTCCCGATTCTGGCCGGACAAGGGACAATGGGTTTGGAAATCATTGAACAAGTTCCTGACCTTGATGCTATTGTTATACCAGTAGGCGGTGGTGGTCTGCTGGCAGGCACTGCACTGGCCATCAAGTCTCTCAAACCGCATGTCCAGGTGATCAGCGTAGAATCGGACAAGTGCCCCAGCTGGCAGGCTGCAATGGATGCCGGCCACCCCGTAGCCACCCCTGTTGGTCCCACACTTGCTGATGGTCTCGCTGTCCCCACGGTTGGCTACAACGCATTCAAGACGGCACAGAAGCTGGTCGACAAGCACATCGTCATATCGGAGGACAAGATTGCGCTCGCCATCCTGCGCCTGATCGAGATGGAGAAGGCCGTTGTGGAAGGTGCCGGTGCCACTGCCCTGGCTGCTCTGCTCGGTGGTGATCTGGACGAGCTGAAGGGAAAGAAAGTCGTGGTGCCACTGTGCGGTGGAAACATTGACACCACTGTGCTGGGCCGCTGTTTGGAGCGCGGTCTTGCCGCCGACGGCCGTCTCATTAAGTTTGTGGTAAGAGTGGATGATCGGCCGAATGGCGTTGCCGAGCTGACTCGCATCATTGGCGGTCTCGGTGTTTCCATCAAGGATATCTTCCATGAGCGAGCGTGGGTGCGTAGTGATATCTTCAACGTCGACATCAAATGCGTGTGCGAAACGCGAGACTTTGCGCACAGCAATGAGTTGCGGCTCGCTCTGGAAAAGTCTTATCCCAATCGCGTCGACTGGAGTTCACAGATCCACACCTGAGCCTGCTGGTCGAGCTACAATGAGCAGAAAATGAATCTTCAGAGATGTGCCCTCATCTCCCATTCAACTACTATGTGTTCGTAGACTGAACTCTTTCCCTCAAACTAGTGAAGACTGAACTGTGTGGTTTTATTCTCTAGGTACTTTTGAGACTTCTTCTCCTACTTTCTTCCCTCTTGTTTTAGATGCTCCCTGACCGGCCTTGTCTTTCAACAATTCTAATTCTAATAATTTATAAAATGTCCCATGGCCACACATGGCATGGGCCATCCATAACATGGGTTTTTACCCTTGATGATAGCAAGAGTACATAACCCCTCCATGTACTCTTGATGACAGTCAATGGTTAACAATTCCTTTCCTCTGATGTTTCACAAACCGTACCGATGACGAACAGATGCCCAAGTAACGTATTGCCATGTAGTACGCATGCAGGCATTCACACTTTCCTGCTTGCAAACATTCACACTTTTAGTTTGTTTTACATGTAGGCTACTTTATCTGAACAGCAGAAAACAGAGGTTTGACCAAGACATCATTGTTTGCTACTGGTATCTGTGCTGAGCTGAACATAGTCGACTAGTCGTTGCCGTCGTCTTGTAAAATCATGTACTTGCTAAGCATGTGCACAATTCAACCACTCTTACCACAGTGCCATTTTAAAAGCATTGTCATGATGCCAGTTTGAAATTGTTTTTGGAACTGCACTGCAGCGGGCGCAGTCCTAATCTATTGGGCGGGGAGACATGCACACTCCCAACCAACTTGCAGATGCATGGTGGCAAGAGGTCATGAGGTTATGAACTCTTGATGGTGGTACTAGTACATGTACAGTAGTCTTGCTCAAAACTGAGTCAAAAGTCCATGATCACCAGCAGAGAGTACTCTGGTTATAATAGTAACTACTTAGGGGCCGTCCGGGGTTACCGATTGTTTTTACAAAACGAAAAGATTTAGTATTTTTCAGCCCCCACCCACCTATTCTGAAGGTGAAACGAATTCCAGTAAAAATATCAATGTCAATTTCGACACCCAGAGGTAACTGGGCATTCTCCATCTGCATCAATGATTATTTAAAAAATTTCAATACGAAACTCGATCAAACCAGGGAGTCGTCAAATACGACGACTCCCTGGATCAAACCCACCCACCCCCAAACGAAAACTTTTCGTTTTGAAAATATTATTGGTAAGGCCATGGTAAAAAATATCTTTGATTCTCAAGTACGCGCGCACCGATTTTTGGCGGCGCACAGACGATTTTTTTTATTTCTATGCATGCATATATGCGCACATGAAAACGGTCACTGCGAAAGGCATTAATCAGGGAGTAGTAAAATACCGGTATTTTTCTACTCCCTGGCCTGAATAATAAAAATAATTATATGAACCTGTGACGTACATATGTGTGACCCTATCTTTGGAAATAAAAAAAGTGTGGGAAATAAAATAAAAAATCGCTCGCGCGATCGCTCGCACCGATTTTCACAGGCTCATGACCTGAGAATCAACTTTATTTTTTACCATGGCCTAACCTTGGACAGCCCCTTATTAGTAAGGGACTCTTGGTGATTGATAGAATCCAGAGAGTCGTCAAATACTTATTTGACGACTCCCTGATAGAATCTATAGTCACTAATAGTTCCCCATGGTAGTACTGTATATTAAAGTACAAATTATTATTTTCGTTCACTCCACCAGCAGGCTTGTTTACGTACTAAATTTCGTTTTTGGTCGAGGTCTAGTCTGTCACCCCTCAGAAAAATAACTCAAGTTTGGTACAAACTTTAGTTATTTCGTGCCCCCTAACGAATATAGCGAAAGTTAATTCCAAACGAAATTTTGTACTTATACAGTACAAGTACCAAGAGTGCATGAAACTCTTGAGTCTTGGCACATGTGCAAGAGAAACAAGCTTCCCATGCGCTAGCACTATGTAAGCAAGATTATTATTCGATACTAGTATAAGCCCACAAGGCACAAGGTTATGGACTCTTGACGTGAGACCTAGCGCCTACTGTACAGACTACAGAGTACAGTAGCAAGAGTTCAGACCAGGCAGTAGTATTGTACTACTCCCTGGTTCAGACATGCCACGTGATCGTTGCCAGGGTTTGAGCCAATAAGAGCGCTTACAGGCAGGGCCTGAACCCCCGGCCCTGATCCTACCCCAGACTAACAGTCTACCTGGTCTACCAAGGTCTGCCTGTCTGCCTGCCAGCTCTACTACGATGCACCGTACCATACACCCTCACGTGATCATTCATGCCCTCTTACGGTGCCATTCAGGCCCCATGCCCAGGGCCTGAATGGCAAACGTGCCTACTCAATCTCCAGACAGCCTCAAATATCATTAGGTCTCACGACCGTACATCTATTATTGTAACGTTATGCCTTCACTAGCTCTCAGAGGGCAAGCACACACAGCACACATTCACCGAGCATCTCACAGCCTGGAAGATGATAAGAAGGGATCGACCAAGAAATACCGAAGTGATGCCCTTCTTGCCATGGTTAACCAAGCTAACAGCACATGGCAAAGAGACGCGCCCTTATCCAAGGCTTCCAGATAAGAGATGTTTGGGTGCATCTAACATGGCCGGGTTCTGGTGCTTCCCTCAAGCCTCTACAGCATAGCATGACCTGCTTGAACCCATCATTGAGTAGCAACCATTCACACCCTTCAAGCAAGTATACACGCATAACTACAGGCATGCATGGTGCAAACGTACCAAGGTCCAAGGTCTACCACACAAAGTTGAAGTGTATTACAGTGTATTAATTTTATTACGGATGTCAATGCCATAAATTATGGGAGTGCATTATTCTCCCAGAAACGAATCAAATAAACTGTATACGGGACACAGAATCAAACGGGGGTACAGACAGGACGATAGCTTACAATCAGCGGAAGAGTCCCGCCATGTTAGTATACAACTCTGTCTACACAAGTTGCATAAGTGAGCGAAACAGATGAACTCAGGAACACTGCCTAGAAAAGACAAAATATCAGAACGCCTTAGTGTTACTAACTTGTTCAGACTCAGCTGTTGCTGCTTGTTACATGAAGTCCTGCCACACACCACTCAGTGACACTAAGTTATTCGTCAGGCTTTGACTAGAAAACAAGACGCATCAGTTGGATCAGTACACTACCCGGTCGCAAGTCAGATCTTGGCACGCCACGCAACTAACACTTGCAGTTCGTAGAGACAATGGTATTTCTGGGCCTTGAGGTGCACTGTGTACTTGCTGTAGTAAGCCACGGCCAGCGTGCCTACATTCCTAGCCCTGCTTGTGTGTCATATCCGAAGCAGTCACTCGAACGGCCTTGGCAGCAACATAACGCAGCCCAGGCGGCGTGTGAAAGATGCGTACTCACTTCATTTGCGCACATTGTGACTGGACACATGCTCACACGAGTCACAGGCTTTGAGTGGCTACAGGCCGTTAGCCTCTCTCCACGGGAAGTGTGTGAGCTAACCGTACACTCTTGGGGAACACCGCTGCTGCGCGCATACAAATGCACGGTCACATGATGATTGCGGCGAGTTGAGGCTACGCGGGCAGGAGGGATGGAATGCCAGACATGACACTCTCAACTGGCTGCCATTGCGATGATTCCATGTCATCAAACAAAACCTACAACAACACAGAACACACCATCAACATCAACATCTAAATTACCAACGGTTGGGCCATCAGCTATATTGTGGCAGCACATCAAAAGCCACCGCAACAATAAAAGCAACTCTCAGACGCGTTCCACACTTACGTTTTCCGCCCGGAAAATGGCAGCATTCAGCTCTTCCGTGTCTATGGGAGGATTGGGATCTGCAGTTCAGTGACAATCACAGCACAGCATTGGTACACTTGGTTGATTAGATACGTAACATGAAGTAGTCAGGCATGCACGCACGCACGCACCACCGCTTGACTTCTGATTAGCAACTGTACTACTTGCAACATGCCTGCACACAATGCGCAAGGGATCACAAGAGAACATCACACTCCAAACATGTACCCGTACTCGTACATCTCAACACAGAGCGCGTAGACAATGGCATGATACGACGAATACAAGCATAACGTTAGTTACAGCATACCACGGCAAAAAGAATGAAGACAGCAAAGTCATGACCCTGAGATTAGCATGCACAGCGCATCACTGCACACAGAAACGTGAAATGCCAGTCATTGTTAGAGATAGAGGTTGTGCGAATGGCAAAATTCTACATTCTTTTATTAGAGTGGCAAGCTGGTGTTTGGGATGACAGTCTGGGGAAAAAACATGTCGAAAACACCTCGAGCCTTCTCAATAAGGGGTATCTTTACATTGAGGACACACCTGGTCAGTCCCGACTGCTAGCGATTAAGTTACAGTGCACTCTATAATGCGGACACCTCTGTATACACCACCAATACGTGTGGTCCCCAAGGACCAGCATATCCGTAATACTAGTAGAGCGTTTCCAGTCTAGGGGTCAAACGGATGTACCGGTTACCCGGGTACCCGCACGTAAATCTCAGGTACCGTTAGTAAAAGGGTACCATTTGTAAAAAAATAATTAAAAAATTAAAAAAATAAAGTTTTGGAAGCCATCTGTCAGCGTCTGTATAAGCCTAATTTGTGTGTACAGAAGGATAGTATAATTGGTTTGAAATTGTTCAAGTAAAGTGTCATGTTTTGTGCAGCCAAGCTTGGCCGTTAATTTTCTAGGTGTAATGTACTGCTGTTATTTGTTATCACTTTGTCCCTTTCTCTTCTTTGTTCATTTTTCAGTTGCAAGTTTAGTGTTAGTACACGCATTCGTTATTGCTCTCGCTTTCATTGATAAAATTCACACTTGCAAATTTCACTGCTGTTGTTCTTAGTGTTATTTCTCTAACTTAGATTTTCTATAATAGTTCAATTTTGTTTTCATTGTCCTTTAGTACAACGAAGATTCCTGATGAGTGTTGTACGAAAACTTGTTTGAATCCTCATTTTCTCTACACCATTTCTTCACATTTTCATCGTTTTATTGCACATTGTCTCCACAGTTTTACACTACATGAATAAAGTGTACACAAATGTCGATCCAGCTTGTATTATTGATTGCGGTTAAAAAAAAATGAAGGTTGGATTTCGATGATCCTATCATATCAATTGCACGCCAAGACTCAAAATAGGAGTGCGGATACTCTTTTTCCTTTTTCCTGTGCATTCCCGCTTTCGACTTTGTCAGGCAGGAGCAGCCTGAAAGACAGTCGTTCTCTCCAATCTAGTGCAAGTAAAAGTCCTCGTACTGGAGGTTTTTTGATTGCGATGTGAGAAAATGCAAGACTTGAAACTCGTTCGAGGTGGCAGCTGAGTTACTAGAAAGTTATGGTGGTTCTCCGACATCGATATGTATGGCAGCTGAGTTACTAGAAAGTTACGATGGTTCTCCGACATCGAACCTGCCACAGCACTTGAAGATGAACTAGTGTCACCAGGTTGAGTGACCAGTCGGAGTGTCACACACGGTGATGTCCGTAGGTGGTAGCTATGATACTCATAGTTGTAGTTTGTTCCTTCAATCGACGAGCTTGGTTTAGTTGAAAAGTAGTTCGAAATATTGCATACAAGATTACGGATTAGTGAAGATTCTTTTCACGAGTTCAACAAGCTAGCACTAGCAGCTAGCACTAGCAGCTAGCTGGCCAGCAGCACATCAGCTGTGTCAGGCACCCCAGCTAGCTATGGGTGCGGACATCTTCGGAATGCGAAGAGTACCAGTTCTCTGCGACATAGCAAATACTTGAAGTAGGATTGCGCGAGATCACAGAAGTTTTGCTAAACTACTCTGTACTTGCATGGCTTGAATCACATCGATCTGCAGTTGATTTGCGTACATGTATCAAAATACATGTAGCACTACACAACATTATAGGACCATGTACGATTGAAACTGCCTGTGAAGTTGTGTACATGGGCAAATGTACGGATGACATTCATTCGGAACTTCATTGCCATAATATGAGACACGAATCAATTGCGAATTTTAATGTGGTATCAAAATACAACCTGATAATATACAAATTTAAATCATGATTTATGTGAGAAATGCACAAAAAATGAATATGGCTGCTAAAGGGTACCCGTTAACCCGCCCGTTAAGAAAATTACCCGTTCGTTAGTTAAAGGTACACCCGTTTGACCCCTAGAACTTTCCACTGCACCAGACTATACAACACCATCAGGACAAGAACAGCAGCAGTGGCGGCGGCAGCAGCAGCTGCAGCGAGCTGGTTAGAAAGCCGTACAAAAGAGAAGCAACGCACACTCACCTTCACACGGCTCTACCGCCATGCTGCTTGCGGCCATAGCACTTTCATCGTACATCTGTAACCAGTCACAGGTGGCACCAAGAAACAAGACATACAGGATATCGTCTGGAACTGGTCTTGGCAAACTCAAATACACTAGTTCCAGGCAACTTAAGTTACTTTACACATCTTCGGCAAGTCTTTTTTATCTTTTCGAAAACGTCTGTGCATTGAACAGCACTAAGCGATCCAGCCAAGTACATGTATCTGACCACAGTGACCAATCGAGTTGGCCATTGTGTCAAGAGTGGGGTAAACTGCATAACAAGTTCTAGGGGTGAAACAATTATACCGAATATTCGAATACTCGTTTGGATTTTTCAAATATAATCGGAGTAAATCAGAGTACTTGCTCATACATGGTACATGCATTTACCACAGAAGTCTGTAGTTTCAGAGCAGCAGTCAGCAGATATTGATGTGCAGAGTGTGTGGTGAGCATTTGTACATGAGTAGAGAGAGCCCAAATGACCCACCAACCAATACACTCGAGAAAAGGACTGCCAATTGGTTCAATCAGGGTTGCATCATGTGATGTTTAAGGCCCTTGGTGTGCGATTTTAGGATATCAAGAATACTCGAATACTCGGAGAAAATCAGAGTACTCGAACTCGGGATCTCAGTGCCAACCTTCACCCCTAATAAACAACACATGTGCACATGCACAACAACCAAACACAGTCATACTATCCACACATTGTTCAGCAGTCAGACAGTTGCTTACCGGATAGGTTTGAGCGTACATCTGTTGCTGGCCCGCCCAGCCCACACCCGGCCAACCAGGCATGTATGCAGCCTGTTGCTGTGGCTGTTGTGGCTGTATACGTACACGCACGCACACACGCGCGCACACACACAAACACACACACACACACACACACACACAAACGCACACACACACAAAGAGAATGAGAGCAAACATCACAACCCGCAGAAATTACAGCAAGCATGCAGCAATAATGTGATACCAAGAAGAAGAAAACATGGCCAGCATCACCCCGAACCAAACCTAAAGGCATTTTAGCAGAGACACACACCCTCGAAATACAGGCCACTCGACATGGAGCAGAACACTTGAGGATTCGAGCTCAGGGTGATAGTGGGTTCTGATAGACACCTATTTTGAATGGATTATCTCTATGAAATAGCATTATAGCAATGCTAAACTGCCCCCTCAGTTCTTTTCGCGCGTATAATATATTGCGGTCGCTGTTCCAGCTGTGCGGGCACTGTTTCAAGCAAGTTCTTCAAAGAAAAAGCAAAAAACATCAAACGTCAACACTAGTGTGGCAGGCCAGTCTTGCGAGTTCATTCATCGTCAGTCCTGCTGCGTCTCTTCGATTTGCTCATTTACGACCAGTCACCAAGGACATATTTCCTGATTACCCCCCCACCCCACCCCTACCCACACACACACACCCTATATTAGCACTCAGACCGCGCATAGCTGGGAACGACTTCCTCACTGCATCTGCAAGTCTTCGCAATCCTCTGATCCTCTGAGAAAAGCATTGGGCTTGCCCATGATGATGAGAAGCAAGTGCAAGTCATTCTGCACCTTAAAATGGATAGCATTGCCAACTGGACCAGGCGGCGTACTTATTTGGTCTGACATCTCCCATGAAAATCTCAACTCTAACACTGAGACACAACAAGAAACTAACTACAGTGAAATCTGTCTAAGGCGACCCCTCAAGGGACAAGAAAAAGTGGTCGCCGTGGCCAGGTGGTCTTCTTATCCAGGTTCAGTGGGTCACGTGACCATATCCACATGTGACACATCATTTTGATCAGTGTATCACAGTGCACACACATATGCTACTCTAGCACGACCCATGTGCCTGGGGACCTCAGACCTGTCAAGTGTTGTGCATGCACCATGTACATCTACACTTCCTGCACTGATGTGTAGATCTACCATGCATGGTGCACCATGGAATACGTACATTTACATGTACTAGCACAGTGCAACGCGGTCGCGGGTGGGTGGTCGTCGGTCGCCTTATCCGAGATGTTTTGAATGTGAATGCGTCCGTGACAAGGCAAAGTGGTCGCCATGGTCGAGTGGTCACCATATCCGAGTGGTCGCCATTACAGGTTTTACTGTACTGGCACTCAAACTTCCTTTCCACTCAATCTTCGCGACAACAACCTCTGGCTAGCGGAGCTCAGGAAAAGGAACATTTTATTCCCGTAGCTATGCAGAAGACGTTACTTCAGTAACGTCTGGCGCTAGCCAGGGTCCACACAGCTTTAATTTGGTGTTTGTTTGTTTGTTTGTTTGTTTGTGTCACGGCTGGAGCTATCCCGTATCTGTCCCGTATCTGTGACTACAAAGGCTCTACAGGATTGTACATAAAAGCTGTCCACAATATTTGCGGGCTCCTGTATCTGTCCCGTACCGTACCAATATTCGTCGTATTATGTATACGACTCCCTGATGTAGAGGGAGATTTGGAAAGAAATAGGGAGACGAGGAGGAAATTAAATTAGAATAGACGCCGATTAGGTGATAGGATGCGTCAGCATAAACATACTTTGGAAGAGAGATCCCGTCGTCTCCAAAATAAGCGTGAACGAGCGATTCAGTGCCGGTCACAGGAAACGTCGGAAGAGAGATCCCGTCGACTCCGGAACGCCCGTGATCGGTAGAGTCCGGCGGTACCAGGCAACGTCAGGACAGACATCCCTTTGAGTCCAGAACGCCCGCGATCGGCAGAGTCTAAGCCGATCCCTGGAAACGTCAGGACAGACATCCCGTCGAGTCCAGAACGCCCGTGATCGGCAGAGTCAGCGCCGGTCCCAGTAAACGTCAGGACAGACATCCCGTCGACGCGCAGAAAAACTAAATCTGCAGCCTCTTTTGCCGTCGAACAGGAAACGTATTTATATAGGAGACTGTAAATTTATGTAATGTCCAAATTTCGACGTGAGCAGCAGGTCACTCGCGTTGCGAGCCAAATAACGCGAACTGAACTTTCGCGTCGCAGACATCCCGTCGACGCGCAGAAAAACTAAATCTGTAGCCTCTTTTGCCGACGGACAGGATACGTATTTTAGGAGACTGTAAAGTTATGTGATGTGCTCCACAGGCAGCCATGCATTCGGCGGCGTCATTGGCTCAACAGGTCAATGTACATGTATTACTACAAAAAGGCCAGAAAATCCGATCACTGTATTAAAATCAACTAATGTTCGCTGTCGATTTAATTTCGCTGATTTCGCCGCTTGGTACCAACCGGCCAAAGTAAATCGCAGGCCAACGTTTGTCATATAGGCAAATGATGCATGATTGAGCAATGGATGCACGTGAGAGCAAAAATACCAATCGAATTCAAATTTGACGTGAAACTGCGCGTCACGTCGGAAATAACGTGCATCTTAACCTCTCTAATAGAGAGGTTTCTATTACTCATCGGCCAAAATTTGTTGATTTACAATATAAGGAGATAAAAAGAAAAGAAGGAGCAAAACAAAAGTAGATGATTATTAGAGAAATAACAATCCGCAATAAATTCTGCAAATACTTTTGCCTAACTCATAAGCAAACCGATTGAAACGTTTTTGCAATACAGTGATGTGGCCAATCAACGAAAAAGACATTCCCATCAGTTCTTATAACATGTACGATGAGCTAGGCAAAAAAGCATAAAAGCATAGCGTAGGGCCCTGAGCTTCCAAGCTCTCTCGTTTTCCCGCCACCAAGCACAAAAACCAAATCTTCCAACAAACCTAATCAAACTACGGATGCTCCCACAAATCAGATCAGGATGGACCAAGATCAGGATGGACCAAGATCAGGATGGACCAAGATCAGGATGGACCAAGATCAGGATGGACCAAGATCAGGATGGACCAAGATCAGGATGGACCAAGATCAGGATGGACCAAGATCAGGATGGACCAAGATCAGGATGGACCAAGATCAGGATGGACCAAGATCAGGATGGACCAAGATCAGGATGGACCAAGATCAGGATGGACCAAGATCAGGATGGACCAAGATCAGGATGGACCAAGATCAGGATGGACCAAGATCAGGATGGACCAAGATCAGGATGGACCAAGATCAGGATGGACCAAGATCAGGATGGACCAAAGGCAACTTACAGAAAACCCACGTAGAACATATCAAATCGTACACGAGTTTTGGGCGCTTTGAAGCGAAAAAGCTCAAATACGTGCAACTTTTATTCAAACCTCTCTAATTCACGCAACCACGTACCTGCTGCTGTTGTTGAGCCAGCATAGCTAGCATAGTAGCTGGATCATATGTTGGTGTACCGGCTGTGCCCCCACCGGTGCCCGTCGCCGGCATAGACGATAAGCCACCGGCTGACTGCGAAGAACTGGTGCGGCTGACAAGGTTGACACAGGAGCAAACGAGCAACAGCACTTAGCAAGCAGACGCACCCAAGACACGGCAGGAAGCACCAAAACCGGCCAATATTCAATGTAGGAACAAACCGGCATATACACGCAGGAGCGCACGCAAAAGCGCAAAGAGATTCAGGGACATATACTTGTACATTGAATTGGTGAAGCACGAGGCAGCACCCACCACGGGCAACACCAAGAATGGCAGAATCAGATAAAGAAAACCTACCTGAATCGGCTCATTATCACACTACCAGTACCCGACTTTGTCTACAACCAGTGACAGATACCGTAAAGTCGCGTATAGAAGCCATGCTTATTCCTGTAGAAGCCGATGTCAGTGTTAGGCTTTCAAATCAGGCTTCTATTCGAACAAAGTATCTCTATGTATGTCAATACTAAACCAGACGTATGTGCTTACAGTGTATCTTAAAAATCAGGCTTCTATACGAGACAGGCCTTCGTACAAGACACTACAGTACGTGTAGTAACAGACTAACGGGTATACTATGCAATATTACAAACACATCGATGGGCACCAGTGTGCATGCACCTCCCCCTCCCCCCCCCCCCCCCCCACACACACACACAGCATGTATGTAGAAAGCGAATGATTTCAATACATGACCACAGATCTCACTTCTTGCCAGAGGTGGCCGCGCTGACTCGAAGTGGCTTTGTCCCACAGCCCTTGGCGCCTTGCATTTCCGTCATGGCACGCTGCTGCTCGTCAGGATCGGTGAAGCGAACAAACCCAAAGCCTCGTGACAGCCCAGCAGCATCGGACATTACTGCATCACAACACAGACAGCAAATGTCCAGGGACAAGGTTCAGGGAACAGCTTGAAAGCAGAAGGTGGCGGTGTAGAAAGAAGTGTTTATGCCATTGTGTAGGCCATGATGTATGCCATTGTGCACAATATGAACATGTGCACGTTAAAGGGGAAGTTACAAGTAAGCCTAAAATCAAATTTTCACCAGTTGTAGTCTTCCGGCTGCTGAGTCGAATGGTCTTGGTCCGAGGAAGCTGAGACGCTCGCTTTCTCCTTTTATATTCCAATCGAACTCGCGCACTTCCACCGAAACTGGGTGACTGCGCCCTACTAGATGGGGATTTGTATGCAAAATGTCACTAAAAGCGCCATTTCGTTCTTATAAAAGCACGGATGACCGCGATTGGCCCATATGTTGTACCGTATTTTTCCGGTTGTAAGTCGACCTTTACAACTAAAAATAGAAGGAGAAAGGGTGGGGGTCGACTTACAACCGGGATTCTACTTATAACCGGGAACTATCAGTATCTTTAAAAAATGACCTGTACTGCATGTACGAGTGCACCATGTGTACATGTGTACACATTTGTGCCAGTTTAGTGGCCTTTTTCAAGGATTGGGGCGTTATACCCTCCAATAATGAATGTTTACACGATTTGTTGATGTGTTAATAGCAGGGAGTAGTTAGTAGTGCTTCGTTGGGTGATAACTTAAAAAAGCAGAATTAAGACCTCCGGATATGGGGGGTCGACCTATAACCGGGGTCGACTTACAACCGGTAAAATACGGTAGTCTTTTGGACGCCGAGTCGACTGGTTTTGGTCTGAAAAGGCTGCAATGTAGCGTTCGGCCCTTATTCCCAATCGAACATGGCTGAACAAGCGGTCACGTGCTCCTGCGTACACCAGTCACCTGGTCACCGCGCCAGCAGGCGACAACTTTCATACCAAGGTTCAATGGCGCCTTTAGTGACATTTTGCATACAAATCCCCATCTAATAGGGCGCAGTCACCCAGTTTCGGTGGAAGTGTGCGAGTTCGATTGGGAATAAAGGAGGAAGAGAGCGGCTCAGCTTCCTCGGACCAAGACCATTCGACTCGGCACCCCGAAGACTACAACTGGTGAAATTTTGATTTTAGCCTTAACTTCCCCTTTAAAGGGGAAGTGCATCGATTTTTCGAGTAGGGTCCAGAAGAAAGACAATTTGATATCGGTTCCAATGGCATATCTCTCGCTTCCATACGATAAGCCAAACTTGCCAAATCGCCAATTGTATGCTCACGTTGCCATAGCGACCAGCGCAGTGATGACGTATGAAAGGCTTAGCTCCTCCACAGAGAAGGTCGATCACTGCAGAAATTGGTCATTTTCAATTTTCTTATTGTATTCACGATGTGAAAGAAGTGCTGTGTTCAATGCTGTTAGTGCCGTGAACTATTTATCGCCCTTCTCATGCATTTCCCTAGGCTGACTGTGCCTAGGAAATGGTTTCCTCCAGGACAAGATGCTTGGAATTCGCCATCTCTCCTGAGACATTTTCAGCAAACTTTCAAACCTACGACATTATTTCATTCGTCAATCTCCACCACCCGTCGTCTCACCTGGCTTCAGAAGATGTTACGAGAGATAGTAGAGTCGCCAGGAAGCATCACATTCATCTTCAGGAAGTGGGAAGAGCAAACTGCATGGTCCTTGGTTGGGGGAAATGCTTGACGTCTGATTTGTCCCAACCAAGATTTCAGCATTTTGTTCGTCACTATTTTCGCTTGTCTGCTGGTGTCTCCGCACTCCAGCTTTCTCCTGTCGGTGTCACGTCCCAGTACACAACCGAGAGGACTACTAACAAACAGTTCACTGCACTAACAGCATTGAACACAGCCCTTCTGTCACTTCGTGAATACAATAAACCAATTGAAAATGACCAAATTCTGCAGTGATCGACCTTCTCTGTGGTGGAGCTAAGCCTTTCGTACGTCATCACTGCGCTGGTTGCTATGGCAACGTGAGGCGATTTGGCAAGTTTGGCTTATCGTATGGAAGCGAGAGATATTCCATTCGAACCGATATCAAATTGTCTTTCTTCTGGACCATACTCGAAAAATCGATGCACTTCCCCTTTAAGTGCTGCAAGACCAGTGCTGCTACAACTATGCACCAAGTGTGTACTTGTAAGTTCAAACTTTCTACAGGACCAATCTATTATGGGAGCATCATCCTACTCAAGCCTCTCCTTTATGCCACCTAGACACCTCGTTCATTTGGGTGCTTGGATCACCATTCGGGTTATGACTTGTCCACTACTGTCCTAAGTCTTGGTCATGTGCGTTCAGGAGACACGGTCAGTTCTCAGATTGAGGTACCCGGATAATAGAGGACCGAGTGTACCACTACAATGACACATACAGGTAACTACAATACTGGATTTCCCCGATTGTAAGTCATATCCCCATTTTCAGGTCCATGTCATATCGGTTCACTATATTCACTTCAGTATATGTAGTGATCATGCTCCATTGTAAGTCTTCAGTATATGTAGTGATCATGCTCCATTGTAAGTCTTCAGTATATGTAGTGATCATGCTCCATTGTAAGTCTTCAGTATATGTAGTGATCATGCTCCATTGTAAGTCTTCAGTATATGTAGTGATCATGCTCCATTGTAAGTCTTCAGTATATGTAGTGATCATGCTCCATTGTAAGTCTTCAGTATATGTAGTGATCATGCTCCATTGTAAGTCTTCAGTATAATTATGTAGTGATCATGCTCCATTGTAAGTCTTCAGTATATGTAGTGATCATGCTCCATTGTAAGTCTTCAGTATATGTAGTGATCATGCTCCATTGTAAGTCTTCAGTATATGTAGTGATCATGCTCCATTGTAAGTCTTCAGTATATGTAGTGATCATGCTCCATTGTAAGTCTTCAGTATATGTAGTGATCATGCTCCATTGTAAGTCTTCAGTATATGTAGTGATCATGCTCCATTGTAAGTCTTCAGTATATGTAGTGATCATGCTCCATTGTAAGTCTTCAGTATATGTAGTGATCATGCTCGATTGTAAGTCGCACCGCACCCCCTTTGTTGGCCCTGAGGCCAACAAAAAAGGTGCGAAAAAGAAAAGAAAAAAAAGGTGCGACTTATATTCGGGGAAATACGGTAATAACTTATTACCAAGAGTAGATAAACAAGAGTGTGCAACTCCGGATCTCTCCTGCACAATCTGCAGATACCCCCGCCCACGGCGGAATTTTTTGTTGACGTCACCTTTTTTCAGAGAAACGCGGACTTTGCCGCAGAGCAGTGTGAGAGCACGTGCTGGGCACCGACCGATGTAGTGTAAAGCCCGGCCAAGTGCACGAGGGAAACCTCTCCAAAAGGCTCGCAGCGCGTGCGTCGTCGAAAAGATTACGTCAACAAAAAATTCCGCCGTGGGCCAACCCATCCGCGAGTTGCACACTCTTGTTTATCTACTCTTGTTATTACCAATAAGCTAAGAAACGTTGGCACCAGTAGTGGTACTTTAATGCAGGATTAGGGGTGAAAGTTGGCACTGAGATACCGAGTTCGAGTACTCTGACTTCCTCCGATCGAATATCGTATACTGGTTGGTGGGTCATTTGGGGGCTCTCTCTACTTGTGTACAAATGTTCACCACACAGTCTGCACATCAGTAACTGCCGACTGCTGCTCTGAAACTGCAGATTTCTGTTGTAAATGCATGTATGATGTATGAACCAGTACTGTGATTTATTCCGAGTACAATTATTTTCGGTTTTTGAGCCAATAGAATAGGGAAAGAAAAAAGGACCTATAGGTTACTAGTTATGACTAACAGTCCAACAAGGTAACGAGATAATATACAGTCAGATAGTGCGACAACAAGGCATAAAACTGACAAGGATATTGAGACATTCGACGACCTGACACCTAGCTCCAACACATCCACGATTATTCCCGTAGCTATGCAAAAGACGTTACTTCAGTAACGTCTGGCGCTAGCCAGGGTCCACACAGCTTTAATTCCGTGTGTGTTTGTGCCTGGCGCTATCCCGTACCTGTCCTGTACCGTACCATCAAAGGCAGCTGGCCACAATATTCAAATAGGGCTTTCAAATGCAAGATCATAACGTGAAGCAACTTGGAAGAATGAGTATGGCTGTGTTTACATGAAGCGTTTCAACCCGGGTCAGATTTCAACCCGCCATGTACACAAAATGAATGGCGCGTTTACATGACGCATTGCGCTTGACCCGGGTTGAAATTTCGCCCCGGGTTGAATCGGAGGGTTGAAATCAACCCGGGTCAAGAAAATCGTACAAACGTACTTCTGTGCGTATCTCGCGCCAGGTTTGAACGGCACTGCAGCTGCAAATTTCGCGCGAACGGATTCACGTGACCATACAGGACTGAAGAAGTGGACTTTTGGCGGCATATCAGTATTTGACCCGGGTCAACTGTCTTCATGTAAACGCTGACCTATTTTGTCTATCGTACAGACTTTCAACCCGGGCTGAACTCGACCCGGGTTGAAATTTCTCATGTAAACACAGCCTTAGTATGCGAAGTGTATCGGGGGAATGCATGCAGGGTGATAGTGCGGGTTCGAATCCTAGGTTGTGTCTTGAAAAAAAATAGGAGAAATGAAAAATTTATAACATCCCTATGCTTTTTTTGCCTAGGTCATCAAGGTGGTAGACGGTGTCTTATTACCCTAGAATGCAAAGAGAAAGTTTATTTATTTCGCTCAGAGCCCTACGCTATGCTTTTTTGCCTAGCTCATTATGCACGTTATTCGAACAGATGCAGGGGCGTGCTTGGCGAGGGGCACAGGGGGCAAGTGCACCCCCAAAATATTTCGACCGGGGTTTTGAAAAGTCACCAATGTATTGCGGAAAGCCCGACCTCGCGGGAGCACGTTCTGCACCTGTGTCTTGTAGATTGTACTAGTAAGTTGTAGTGCAGTAGGGGCCTGGTGTGCGGCCTACATGCAGCCAGGCAGTACCGTACGTACAGCCTGTCAAGTGTCATATCAGATTGCACGACATCGCGAAAGGATGCGACCACAGTGGCACACAAACATCAGCGCTTGAAAGGAAAGAGAACGGAAGGCCGAGGCCGGTGACTCAGTTATACATACGTGCGGTCAGGTTACGGATGTTACCACAAGTACTGCCCAGCCGCGCACGGACTAGCATACATTACATTACATGATTACAGGCAGCAGCACGGTACGAGTGCTTGCGACTTTTCTACTTCACTACTGCAGTAACTGTTGCAGGCAGCAGCAGCGCAACAAGTCCATTATTGTTTTTGTTTACCGCAGCAAAGGCACTTACTTTTAGTTTTGTCAGTTGTGATAAAGATGATCTGATTGAAAATGTCACGGCCTCAAGGGAAGCGCAAGGCTTCCACCCAGCTCACTATCAGTGAGCTGTTTTCTGCTGGCGGGAAAAAACGAAAGTCCGGCGAGAGTGATGAGCCTGTGGCTGTTGTAGACGACGATAACGAGTCCGACTCGACTGACGACATTCAGATTTTTCCTGGAGAGGACAATGCCGCTACAGCCTCTTCAAAGGTCAGGGAAAGCGGCCTATCTGCGAGTAGTGCCTCTGCATCTGCGTCGACGACTGCGACGACTATCAACGATGTTAGACAGCAGTATGATCTCCAAATACGACGTTGGATTTATCTGCCATCATCGCTGTCTTCGGTTGAGAAGCGCAGACTAATTGACCGCCATTTCGTCCCTGGAGCGAAGTACGAGTTTCCTGCTGTTCCAGGCAAGGACGGGAAAACCAGACGCTTTCGACACCAGCGGCTGTCAGATAATCCATGGCTAGTGTACTCCTCGAAGTGTGAAGGAGGTTTCTGTTTACCTTGCCTACTATTTCCTAGTGGTGCTGACCAGGGCCAACTCACAGCCTCAGCGTGTGTAAACTTTAAGAAGGCCACGTCCCTGTACGAGAAACACAGGCAGCAGCGATCCATTTGGATGCCATTGCCAGGCTTACTCAGTTTAAAGCAGTTGCTGCCAGTGGAGGTGCTGCTGTTGCTGACCAATTGGTAGATGCCCACTCCATTCAGGCCAAGGAGAATGAAGAGAAGCTGAAGAGCATACTTGACTGTGTGATCTTTCGTGGAAAGCAGAATGTCGCCTTGCGTGGACATCGCAATGAGACTGTGGAAGTCAGTGGCACTGCCTCTGAAACGCTGGATGAAGTTTCAATCTTCTCCAAGGAGGGTGGTAATCCTGGAAATTTCCTCGCTCTTCTGGAGTTCAGGGCCAGATCTGGTGATGTGTCTGTCATTCGTGACTTTCATCTGCACGCTGGTGGAGCTGGGCACCGCGTACATTACTGCTCTGCCAAGTCCCAGAATGAGCTCATTGACTGCTGCGCTGAATATATTCGGGAGAGGATCCTGAAGACTGTCCGTTCTGCACCATTCTTCAGCATTCTGGCTGACGAGGCTACGGACTCAGCCAACATGGAACAGATGCCACTTGTCGTACGGTATGTCAAAGACTTTGAAGTTAAGGAGGACTTCCTTGGCTTCATCGACTGTGATACGGGCATCTCAGGCCAGGCTCTTGCGACCAAGATTGAAGATGCTGTCCATTCTTGGGATCTTGATCTTGCAAAGTGGAGAGGCCAGGGCTACGATGGCGCTGCGAATATGGCGGGGCGTTTGAACGGATGTGCAGCTGTCATACAACGGGATCACCCAAAGGCAGTCTACTTTCACTGCAGCTCCCATGTACTCAACCTCTGTGTTATGGCGACATCGAAGATTGCGCTAGTTTCGAACACGTGGACGACTCTAAGAGAGACTTCATTCTTCTTCAAGAACTGGACGACTCTAAGAGAGACTTCATTCTTCTTCGAGAACTCTCCAAAACGTCAGAATCGCCTGGAAGCCATCATCACAGAAATGCCAACAGACACTGTGAATGAAAGCCGCAAGAAGAAGCTGGTCAGCCTCTGCCGTACATGCTGGGTCCTGCGACATACTGCTCTCGTAGCCTTCGCAGACCTGTTTCCAGCTGTGGTTGCCACCTTCGAGGTTATTGCCAATAACCGCGCTGACTGGAACGCCGACTCCTGTGCCAAGGCCTCTGCCCTCCTGAGGACTATCACAGATTTCTCGTTCCTCCTGACATTTTCCGTCGTATCCAACATCATGGCCTACCTACATGGCCTCTGTGTTGGCCTGCAGGAAAAGTCGCTTGATGTATGCCGAGCTTACAAGCAGATCGCCAAAACTCAGACCACACTTGAGAATGTCCGTGATTCCGTGGACAACTACCATGCCACTTGGTGGACGGAAGCTGTGGACAGGACAGCCAGTGTCAATGTGCAGCCATCAGCACCTCACACTTGTGGTTGTCAACTTGGTCGAGACAATGTTCCTGCGGACACTCCTAAGCAGTACTTCCGCAGAGCAGTGTCAGTTCCTCTGCTGGACGAGCTCTTGGGACAGTTTACGCAGAAATTCGGTCCACTCCAGCAAAAGATTGGCAAAGGCTTGTCGCTTTTGCCTCGTGTTTTTGCTGGCCAACCCGGAAGAGGTCAAGACAGACGCGATGACCTTCGCAGCAGAGTACGAGGAGGACCTCCCAGCTGT